AAGGAAGATGTAAATCAGGTCTCTCATCGCCAGAAGTCTAAGAAGTGTCTGAACGCCGCCGCAGCTGACCACCAGTCTATACTCAGACCATCAAACCAGTCTGGTACTCTGTCAATTACCATGGAAACCGTCCCACACCATTTATTGCTGCGTTTTTCTTTTCTTTAGACGTAGATCTCGTTATGTTTTCATAGATGAACATTCTCTATCTGTTCTGGTTCTAGATGCTGCACAGATTCACTAAGTAGAGCTTTGCTTTATAGAATGCACTGCTATTTTGTTCAATAACGTTTCATAATCTGTTCCAGTCAAATGTGGGAAATATTTTTAATGTGTGTATAAGACAGAAGTGAATAAATCTGCTCAGATCTGCTCATCCTGCCTAGTTGGAGCCTCTCTATATGCAGTCAGTGGGACATGGAAAAACATCGGATCGGAGATTAAATGTCGTACCAATTGCTGTTTTCAGGCCTTTTGGGTCAATGTTGTTTTTGGTGGCAGTTTGAGAGCAAAACTGAAGCCTGAATTCACTTTTATGAATCAGGTGTTGTCCTGTTCACAAGAATGAAGTGAGGCTCTCCATGTGCATGACTGCATCAGTAAACATGTGATCATTTTCACGGCATTTGTAGCTTCCTTTAAATTCACATCAGTCATCAGAAATGCATTTCAGTTCGTGCCTCTGATTTATAGATAATTTATAATAAGATGACTGACATTCATCAAGTAACGTTGCAGCCACGCAGCATGGTTTTATGATGACATCACAACAATCACAGCATAACAGTCAACATGAAGGGATTCGGAGGAAGAGAAAACGTTTCCGTTGTTTTACCTGAAACTCTGCCTGGAAGCCCTGAGTGCTGTGAAGTTCAGCCACGTGTTGAACAAACTCCTTCACTGGAAAAGCTCTGGCTCCATCTGAACAGTTCAGGGAGTAAAAGAAAAGGTGGCATTCAACATCCGTTTGAGATAATAAACATTTTAAAAGCAATGCATTTAAGACTAAATGTTTTTATTGTTATTCTAAATTGGAAAAGAATCCCTCAGTCAAATAAAAGGCTGTTTGAGAAACTTCAAAACGAAGATGACAGGATGGACAGGAGACAGGCGGTGAGAGGACTCTTCAGGGTTTGGACGGCCTTTGGGGAATATTACAGCAGTTCTTCCGGCAGGCTTCTCTAATGTGGTTAGATAATGTAGGAATATATACAAACATGGGCAAACCTGCTGATACCCTTCAATGAAAGAAAAACACATAATGGTAACAGAACCAGTGGCGGCTGGTGGAGTTTTCTCCGGGCGTTGGGGGTTGGTGGATAAATACAAAACAGACGTAAATCGAAAAAACCAATTAAATGTTTACTAAGTTATCACACCACTATATTTATATGAATGCCAAAAACATAAAATATTATAAAATCACTTTATAAAAACAAACATACTTTCATGTGCAGGTTTCCTTTTTCTACATAACTCTTGTCCTTCTGAGGCTGTGAAGGTAAATCTGTGTTTTTCATGGTCCAACATTGTATCACAAACCTAAAAAAATGATGAACCGGTTTAATAATGGAGAAGCTATTAGTCAGCTTTATGTTTTTTTAATATATAAAAACTATTTATTTTCTCAGAATTTATTTTTATTCTTTTATTTAAGAGCAAATATGCAAATGAACAACCATCTAGAAAAAGTAGACTTTATTATTCTTCTTTATGCTTTTTTGCCTTTTCTAAAAAGTGCTTTAAATCAGTCCTAGCTGTCTTTATCCAGGCTGGCTCAGATCCTCTCCCAGGAGGCTGTGTTATGCTGTGGGCTGCTTTGCTTCATCTGAATCTCTGCAGGCTCCAATGAAATCTCCAGACTATCAGGGACGGTAGAGAGAAATGTTTTGAAGTGTCAGAAAGCTTGGTCTCAGCAGCAGCTCATGGGTCTGCAACAGGATCAGGATCCAAAACACAGAAACAACAGAGAACAGCTGAGAGGGAATCATTGGGCTGAAGGGGCCCCTAGGGGCCCTGACCTCCATCCTAATAAGCACCTATGGAAGGAGCTGAAACAGGAAAGGCAGCCTGAAACTCCTGCATGAGGAGTGGAGCAGAATAGCTGCTGGGAGGAGCAGAGGGCTGATTGACAGGAACAGGAACCAATCATAGCAGAGATCGACTCTGAAGGTTGAAGATGCATCATTTTAATCCAGACCCTTTTCATGAGTTTATTTTCCAAAACATTTTGTTTTTGATAAACAGTGGATTATTTCCTGCTATCATCGCAACCCCTGCCCCTTTACAGGGGAACAGAACACCTCCCCCGTTTCTGTCACATGGGAGAGGAGGTTTAAAGGAGGACCCAAATGCAGACTGAAGCTGCAGTGGTTTCTGGAAGGTTTATTATCTAAAACGTTCAACAGTAGAAAAAAATCCAAAAACAGGAATCCTCAAAAATTCAAAACTACAGAATTCCAGAAATACTCACAACAAGGTGGCAAAGAAATGACAACAAACCAGCAAAGGGTGACTGACCAGGACGAGAATATGGGAGACAGAAACAAAGACCAGAATAATTAGCAGATTGGGAGCAGGTGTGGACAGAGGAGGCAAGAAGGGAGCTAGGAAAAATGAGACTGACACGAGAGGGCAAACAAGAAATATCTAAGAACTTAAATACAATCAAAAATAACTAGAACAGAAAAATGGAAATAAGACAAAACTTGAAGAGAACCAAAACTTTGACAGTTTCAGCCAGGCCAACAATTCCCCCTAACGACCCCTTTTATAGAGACATAGACAGGTATGGGACATTCATAAGGGGTGGACCCGTTGGTCCGTTTCAATTTGCATGTTTTTAAAAAAAAACAAGGATTTGTTGGGCTGCTGTATAAAACCTGGAACTCAACACTATTTCTGACATTTTAATTTGAAAAAGCTTCCTGGATGGAAGCGGAAAACGTCTTCAAACTTGGAAACAAAGTCCAGTGGATTGATTTTTTTTTTTTTTTTTTACTTTTTTGGAATTCTGCGTTAAATATCTGACTTTTATTTTTAGATTTTTGAATAATAAAATTTTGTCCAATTCAGTTTATCTGTGGAAATTATGGATTTTTGTTTCATTTTAGTACCAAAAATATTGCCCACATGTCCAAATACATATAGCTATATCTATATCAAAGCAGTTATATTCACAATATGGTATTTTTTGAAAAAAGAAACCTGATTTTTCAATTTAAGTTTTTTGTCTACAGGATAAAATTGACTTTATTGTTTAATTTACCAGACGGTAGTGCAGCAGTTGACTGTGTGATGTCTCGCTGTGATGACATGCTGGTAATGTAAAAGTGAGCCGTCTGGAAGCACATTCTGTAGAAAGAAAAAGAAACAGAATCAACGTTTTATTTTTTTGCTTTATGCCATAAAACGCAGAGACAGATTTTTCTACACCATCAGTGGAAAACAGGTTTGTAATCAAGTTGAAAACAGAAAAATAACAGCACCAAAGGAACATAAGTACAGTGAATCCAAGAGGGATAAGATGCTTTTGTCTTCATGTGATTCGGTGTAAGCCCAGATTTTGGCGTAACATAGTAATCTTCACATAAACACGGGAAAAAAGATGTTCTGCTAATCCTCAACATGTTTTTAAACGGATGATGCTTCCTGTAATGAACATGCAGGATCTCAGCTAGAAATGGACATCGCATGGAAAAGATGAGTGAGCCCAGAGATTAAAGGACGAATGCTTAGAAGAAACCATAATAATCAAAGAAGGAGGCCCTCAGATTCCCATGACGATCAACAATAGAGGGTGTTTACACGGTCAAGAAGCCGTCAAAGCTTTCAGCAAGTTCATCTTCTGCTAAACATCTAAAATTGATCCGTCTCTGTTTGCTTGTTCTTTCTTTGCTCTCTGTTCTCTTCCATCATCAAACAACAAAGGAAGACAAGCAGAAAAAAACTGTTCAATCTTCCCACAGATAGTGTCTGATAATAAAACAGAAATAAAAATGTTTTCATCTTTGCTGGTGAAGGTTATTAGTCATCCAGGTCATAGTTATTCCAAAAAAATAAAATTAAAAACAATCCACTGGACTTTGTCTCAAAGTTTGAAGATGTTTCTCTTCCATCCAGGAAGCTTTTTCAATTCAAAATGTCAGAAATAGAGTTGAGTTCCAGGATTTATACAGCAGCCCAACAAAGCCTGGTTTTAGTTTAGAAAACATGCAGATAGAAATGGACGAACGGGACCACCCCTTCATCGCAGCCCCAGCCCCTATACAGGAGAGTGGAGGACCTCGCCTATTCAGCCAGGCCAACTATTCCTTTTAATGACCCCCCTTTCAGAGACATAGACAAGTATGGGGCATTGCAGGCTAACAAAGAAGCAAAAACGACCCCCATTCCAAAGGGGTGGACCCGTTCATCCATTTCTATTTGCATGTTTTCTAAACAAAAACCAGGCTTTGTTGGGCTACTGTATAAATCCTGGAACTCAGCGCTATTTCTGACATTTTGAATTGAAAAAGCTTCCTGGATGAAAGAGAAACGTCTTCAAACTGGGAAACAAAGTCCAGTGGATTGTTTTTAATTTTCTTTTTTTTTAAGTTTTGATCTTTGTTAAAAACTGTGTATTTCCTTCTCTTAAGAATCTGCTGAACAGCTTTTCAGGATAAATTACCCGGAGAAGCAGTTCAGCCTTTAGCGGATTTATTGCAGGACTGCCCAGAGTTGGACCTCGAGGGCTACCGTCCTGCAGGTTTTAGAGCTGAAGCTTAAGAAGCTGAGCTGAAGAAGGAAAACAACTAAAACCAGCAGGACAGCTGCCCTCCAGGGCCGCCTGGTTTAGACCAACATGTTTATAAAAAGTCTGACAGCTTTGACTCAGAGTTAAACATTTACATGATTGACAGTAGTTATTGTGAGACAAAGCCTCATTGATACTGTTTGGCCAAATTGCTTCAACAATCTCCACAGTTCATGATGCTTCATGTGAACATGTCACCACCTACTGGTGGAGTGCAGAACTACAGTTGGTAATATAATCTGGGATTTTTTGCAATTGTTTTTCTTTTCTTTTTTTTTCCCCATTTAAGTTTCTTTGAAATTGTTAATGATTGGTGTGTAATAAAATATTTTATAAGTTTTGTTTGTGTAAAATGTCTTAGAAGAGAACAATCATTTAAGGTTCATTGTTTTTCTGCCATTTTAGTGAAATAAGCTCAAGCAGACAGGGAAAGTGTTTGTGCAAATTGGGCAATGATGAGCAAAATGAAAGGTTTTAGTCATTTTATTCAAATATAGTTTTTCCACTGGTTTTTGGTTTTAATTGGGTTGGAAGTTATGTGTTCAACCAATCTTTTGGCTAAACCAACCAATGGGATTTGGCAGTCTTTTTACCCAATTTGTAAAACAACCACATGCTTTGTTTTAACATATGTGCTTAGGTTTAAAGTAAGATCCTTTTATTTCCCCTTTACCCTTTAGTTAAACCTCAGCTGATGTAATTAGGGACATCCCCTTTTCTTCAATAAATGGCGAGCAGAAAGCTGAAGACTGCAGAGTGGGTTGGAAATTTGTAAACTCTGCAGTCTCCTTCCTACTCTCCTCGCGAGTAACTAAATTAATTGTCTCTGTGCTTTCTTTCTTTCCCTGTATGTATGTATGATGTTTTAGGTGATTAGACCTGACAACATTGCAGGTTCTAGTCCAAAAAACAGATGTTTAGGCAGACGTCCGATGAGGGTAAGGTAAGTCTGGGAAATCCAGGGAGAAAGAACAGGATCAGAGAGATGGTAATCAGGTATGAAATGCTAGAAGCCTACATACTCAAGGCTTTTATTAATCAAACACGAACATTCTGCAAGGCAACCAGATCTACAGGTCAATGGAATGGACTTAAATGTGCTGCAAGTTCAGAGGGGCATCAGATGTTCTAAATTGCACGTTGATCTTGGAGCTGATTGGCTGGCTTAATTAATCATTTCATTCACCTGTCTAACTCCTGCCCTGTTCTGCCTCTCAACCACTGAGTCTGCCTGTTCCCGTCTGAACAGTTTACCCGAATTGTCTTTGGACCCCAGGATCTCTGAGCCTGCCTGTTCCTGTTCTGATCTCTTTGCTTGACCTGGCTTCGACTCCTGAACCTCTGAGCCTGCCTGTTCCTGGTCTGATCTGTTTGTCTGACCTGTCTTCAGACTCCTGTAGGATCTCCAGGGCTTCAGCACCTGGGACACTCTGGGCGGCGGGCACCGCATCTTCTTGTCAGCCCATCGGCCGGATCCCACCTCAGAACTTTTAAACCAGATTATTGACTCACGTGTTCATAATCTTCCTCTGTCGTATTACCGTGGTCACTAACCTGTGTTTCCTTTTATGTAGTTTCCTGTGATAGACACCCTAGCTACTCACATCCTCAGTGTTTTAAATAGATGCTTTTGCATTATCCAAAATGTCTGTCTGGCCCTGAATACCGGGTCCTCTGTTCTGAGTCTTGATAATCAATGCAGGAAGAAACTGCAAACTGCAATTTCTCAGTCCTCCATTTTGTTGTGCTCCATTTTGTTGCCCGTAGAAACCATTCTAACTGACGCAGTTATTACCACCTGATCTACATACGGCAGCGCAGCAAGACAGATGGTCCCCCCTCTGTCTGAAATGCAACGATTTCTAATGGATGACGGAGCAAAAGACGCTAATTAGTAAAAACCTGATGAGTGAGACAGGAAGTTGAATTTCTGAACAGACCGAATATAAATGCACTAAGAGCAAAGACAGAGCAGCCAACCTGAGAGGTCATGCAGTTTCAGAAAAGTTCCTTTCATTAAATCCCAGAGACAGTTATAGAGTGGGTGGACTTTTGAGCTAAAGGACTGCAGGAAAGGATTTAGACCAGAAAAATCATTAACCAGTAAAGGTCCAGAGACATTTTTAATTATAATCTTTTACTTTAAACAGAATTTAACACTGAAATAAAATTAGGTGTTTATGCATCCATGTTATACATTGACTTTTTAAATAAAAAATAAAAAAAAGGAAAATGTTTCCATTTTAAAATCTAAAGTGTTTTATAAAGTAGAGAACAACAGTCATTCAGTTTGGTTTATAGACAATTTCCTGATTCCCATATTTTATCAACCACCTGAACTGAGTGTTTTTCTTTTTTCTGTCTTAAAGGAATAGTACACCCAAAACATGATTAGCCTTCATTTTCTACTCACCCCCATGCTGAACAACACTCTGGAGTACT